ATGGGCAGCACCTGATCCAGGAGTATGAGAACCCGTCATGTTCCTGAGGAGGTTGATGGGGCAGTCAAGGCAGCTGCCAAAATGGCCCCAGTTGAAACAATGAGCACTCATAGATGCTGACCTTCACCTAGTCTTCCTTTCACATCAGTGATGTCCTTCCCAGGCAGTTTTCAAAGGACACTGGATCATACAGATGGTTCACTATAGGAATAGTAAGAAAAATGGGCAGTGGCACTAACAAGATGTCTGGAGGAGCAAGGTTCCATCGTGAGTCCAAAACGCGTGGCATCTCCCACTTCCAGGGAGTAATCGCAGCTCCTCGGCAGAAAAATCAAGGGCTCTCTTTCTCATAAAGGCAGCTCATTTATGGCACCTTCTTGCATTGAAGTTTCATCTCTTACATGTGGGAAGAAAAAGATCTGTGGGAGGTTGCAACTTCTCTGGAAGGGGCCTGTGCAAAGGGGCAGATGTTGTGCCATGGCACCTTGTTCGCTGAGACCAAGAACGGCAAGAAGAAGGAGATGGGGAGAACCTGTCTCCTCTGTCCTTTCTGGGCACCCCTCAGGCTGGGGGACACGGAGGAGTCATCAAGGCTGTGTCAGGGCTCCTGGGGGAGCTAAATCCTGGGGGCACCATGAGTACCCAGGAGCATGAGCAGGAGCAGGAGGAGCAGCCTGGGACCCACTTATCAGCAAGACCTGCTGGGGAAGTGAACCTCTGTCACCAGTGTGCACTCTGTCCTCACCATATAGTTGTAGAGAATCGAAGTAAATGCCCCTGCAGAGTGTCAGGGATGTGAAGGTGGGAGACTCTTCCTGAAGCAATCAATTCCTTGCACCAAAATGGCAGCTCCCCCACTTTCTACTCAGCTCTGGGGGAGCTGCAACCCACTGATGGGTGGGAAGGGGCAGGAAGGTCTGAAGCCCTTACAAAATATTTGTTGCCCTAACAGATCTTTTCTTCTTCATGGGACTCCTTAAAATGAAAAATCCCTCTGGATTTCTATTTACTGCAAATGGCATCTAGGCTAGAGGTCTCAAATATTATTAGGGTTTAGCTAGCTGCTTCCTTCTTTGGAAAGCTTAAATAAGTCAGATAGCAGGTGCAGTACTTCAAAATATTTTTTGCTTTATAAGCGTCTTCATCTTTTAAGATATTTTGGGCATTCAGAAAGGGAAATATTTTAGAACAGTAAATCCAATATTTCTGCTAGGCTCCTAGACCTGTATTTTGGTATCTAAGTGGGCTTCCTGATTTTTGTAGCCCTGAGCACTCACTGGTCCTATAATACTCCCTGAGAGCTGCTGGTGCTGAGCACCTCTGAAAGTAAGGCCACCTATTTACATACTTAATTTTAGGCATCAAGGATTGACAATTTAAGCTTAAAATGCTACATATCTCTGTATTATTGCATCCTCAGTTAAAAAGCAGTATGTTTAAGTCGTCTTAGTTGTTCTTTATGAACCCCAACTGCTCAGCCAGTGCAGCTAAAAAGCCAGCCACCAACAGCCATACAAGCTTGCCAGCATGCTGCCCACTGCGGACGAAAACCCCAGTGCTTCTGTCAAGAAGGCCTGCTACAAAGCCAGGCTGTTATTTATACGATGCGGTTCCAGGATTGTGCTAAGCATCCGCAGTCCTCACCGCTTAGTATTGTGAAATTACTTTCTGAAACATTTTGCTTTTCAGCTAGAACAAAAATGTGATTTGTTCTCATCTGGGGGGGAAAAAAAATCGACAAAAAGAAAAAAGGAGGGAAGTAAAAGATTTACAAGTTCCTTCGCTTTTTATTAAAAACAAAACAAGACAAAAAAAACAACAGCAAAAACTGCAAAACCCCCTCTTCCACTTTTAAGTAATGTGAAAACACAACAAAAAGGGTCCCAAGATCTCCGCTGTAAAACTTGAAAAAAACAAGCAAACCAAGAAACCCCTATTAAGCATTTCCAAGAGTTTCTTTTTAGCCTTAGAATGTATTTTATGGAAAGCAGGGAAAACAGGGATATGTACAACTCATCACGTCAGATTAAGCAAACATACTTAATATGCCCTGAACAGGACTCTGACTGAGGCTCTCCAAAGATTAAATGTCAATATTTTACTTTAAAAAATAAAATTTCAGGGAATCTCGTAAATAGTAACTTGAGGTGATACTAGATTGTACTCTAGAAACACCTTATAGTTAGAGCAATCTTGACAAGCTGTGCTCTCTGGCAGTTGGAATAAACGATCTGTTTTAAGTATTATTGATAGCATTTCAAAAGCACAGACAAAAACCATTTGGGAATGGAAAACATATACCCCAATTACCCCTCTGGAAAAAAGCAAAAAAGAAAAAGCTTCTACACAACTGCATAAAACCCCCGTGTATTGAAATACACTCCTAGTACTCAACTGTTAAAAAAAATAAAAATAGACTAACGGGTTAAAAACCAGGTTTAGGTGCTGAGCTGTTACAAAGAGTAGTACACTTTGCATTTGGACAGTGTTAAAACAACATTTTTAATGTGGATGCTAGTGCAGAAACTGGAGATTAAACACAAAGAGATGCATACAGCTACCACATGCAGGAAAACGAGGTTACAGGCATGGCAGCACCAGGCGCTCGCCCATCACCGCGGGGAGGAGGAAGGGACAGGCATAGCAACCACAAGCCCAAAAGCAGAAAAGCGCATACCTTCAGCTTGGAATGAAAATCACGAGATTTCCTTCTGGCAAGAACCTGAATGTGACTAGACACCTGCAGGGTAGGGGAAGGGAGGAAACAAAGGAAAAGCCTGTAACCATGGAGATGAAAAGCCCCCTACAACTGGGCAAGCCAAACGTACCTTAATGGCGGCTTGAATTTCTCGAACTTTCTTTCTTGCTAAGACCTGTATGTGACTAGACACCTACATTGTTCAGGTTTATAGGGAAAAAAAAAAAAAAAACAACAAACAAAAGAAAAACAAAAAGCAAATCAAATTTAAAATGTCTATTTTCTCTTAAAAAAATAACTTTTCTGAGGGGAGGAAGTTATTTGCATCTTCAGTAAGCTTTGCTGTTAAAGATACCACATTCCCAGCCAGATACTAAGCTCTTAGTACCGAGGCTTAACAACACAGGTCATCACTGCAGTGACTTTATTAAGGAGAAGGAAAAAAAAAAAAAGAAGAAAAAAAGTGTAACCCACCAGGTTGTGCATTCAGCTGCAAGAGAGAAGACACAGTTTGCAGTTGGACACAGCCCACGCGCTTCGGTACCTATTCCATCCATGGCCAGGCCCCGCGCTCTCATGCAGGGAGCCGAAAGGATTTCTACACCAGCTGCCGGGGATGCAGATGCCCGCTCTGACCATTTGTGACTAAGCTTGAGATGTAACTTGGCACCGAGAAGTTCTATCCATTATTTGTTCTGCAGCTCCAATGAGGAGTCTCAGGCTGTGTTTTTGACCCCACTGAAATGCTTTCAGTTCTGGCACAAATGGTAAAATACTGGCACAACACAGGTCCCTGAACCTGTGCTGGCTTCCTCAGTAATCTCAGCATCAAGTCTGCCCACAAAACACCCATGTAAGGGGACCAGTACCTTGGCATCGGCTTGAATGATGTCCAGGTTTGGGCCATTGTCATTACATTTTGGTAATAAATTGTAAATCCAGTCCTGCGCTAGACCAGTTATTGGTCAGAAGTTGTCGTCTGTGCAGTGAAGGGTCTGGGCCCAAATTCACGTTCCTGTTTACTCAGACATGTACTGAAATCAGTTCTATTGATGACGACGGTCTAACGATGCTGCCCTGCATCACTCTGCAGCGCTCAGCATCCTACAGCCCTCTGTATGAAGGTTTAAAACTTGCAGTGATGGTAAAAACCACCAAGGAGAAATCTCTTATTCTTGTTTGGCCCAGGACATACTATATCAGGTGTTGTATGTTTTTCCTAATTAGTTACAATTCCTGTCTAGGAAAGAATAAAGCAAAAGAAAAGAAGAAACAAAGCTTGACTTCCTCCCTCTATAAGACTATTCCATGATAATAGTACCAAAAAGTCTGTATTTTTAGTAGGGAAGCAAACAGTAATGCATAAATGAGCACAGCCCCTGAAGGCCACGTTCAGAGACTTCTTCGGGAAGCTGCTCAGGAACCGATCTGCAGTAATTCAGAGTTATACTATTGCTTACTAAGCAATTTTGTCGTCAAACACATAGACCAAGTTTTCACATGTGTTCATTTGTTTTGCTTTCAGTGGGATATTAGTGATGTTAAAGGTTATACAAGAAGCACAATCGGAACATTTAATTGCTCAGTTGAAACTTGAAAGTAACGACAATCAAACTTTTCTAAATACTCGGTCTAAAGTGATTCATGAATCGCTATAGAGGGATGTACAAGTACAGAGGCAGAACATCGCCATATGTAAGCCATCACAGGCCTCTTGGTTTCACTGCAGCTCTACCAGCACATGCTGGCCAAGGATCTAGCCCCAACGTCTGCATTTTGACTCCTGTTGCAATTTTAAGATCTCAGCGTAACCCCCGACTCCCAGAGCTTGCATGGGTGTAGCAGGGCAGAACATGGGACTTTGTCTTTTGTTTCAGATTTCTTTGCCAGTCTTTTGTTTGTTCCTTCTCCACATGCTGCAGTTTCTCTCCTTTCTCATGTCTTTTTCATCCTTCATATACATATGTTTTCTTCCTAACTGACAAAAGACACCACCCAGGGCAAAACATCGCCCAGTTCAAAGTGCTTTAAATCCAAGGTGTGTGTGCCGACTTAGCGTCACCTTTCCCTGCACTACAAAACACATGTAGCATGCAAGTGTAGAGCCTCTATCTTCCCCTTTGTCACACACGTGAATGGGGAGAAGGGGAATCTCGCACTTGATGTTAGAGAAAGCAAGGGGACTCTGCGATTTGCGAAGCATTTTGAAACAGCGCAAGGGTTTAGTAACCACTGCATGAACTACACAGAGCGTATGCCTTCTGTGAGGCTGCGGATCACCGTGGATATTATAAATTAAAGGATTTAGTCATATGAGATAAGTTAATGATTATGTGATAATCATCTGAAAAGACTTAAAACTGCTTAGAGGTTTATTCTGACTCTTTGACGAATGGAATCTTACCGTGGTCACAGACCAGGAGCCTGAAGGCTCTTAAGGGAATTCTTTTATTATTTTTTTTTTCCTGTAGCAAGTACTGCCCATGAGCTGAGAGCATGATTATAATCAGTCCTCCAGATAGTTTTTATTTATTTACCTCTCATATCCAAGGATCATAACTTCTATTATATAGGCAAATTGGCTGGACTTTTAGAAGTTCCATTATTCACCATCTCAAAATAATCATTATATTCTGTAATTGCCCTTATAGAGAAATAAGGCACAATGCTTTATGTTTCTGCTTCAACTTCTGAATTATTTTTTTTCCCAAACACTGGCGATAATAGCTTCACGTACACATAGGTGAATAAAAAGTGCATCCTCAAACTGCCACTGAAATGATGCACAACATAGAAAACCAGAGTTTTAAATATTTTCTAAACAGCATGTATTTAATCTGAACAGTGAAGTTAATATGTCATCTCATCAGAGCTGAAGCACAGACAGCCACTGCAGCCAATAATGCCATGTTTTGTCATTCATTGACATGCATACTTCCCCACTGGGTTATTTTACCTGCTTCCTGGTCCGTGTCTTCCCTGTTCTAAGTTTGATGTATCTGGCTATCAATTCATTCCTACCTGAAAGAAAGAAAAATTCATGATAAGGGACAAGCAGCATCACATCCATAAAGACCATAAAAATACCACATTCAAATATATGACCTCCATGCATATGAGGCTTATGTTTTCTTACACCTACTCCACTTTTTCTTTGCAGTTTTTATTCATCAGTATTTCTCATTGTTCATCAGTATTTCTCTTCCCTCTCCCTAACACATTGTATGTGCCACACGAACTATGCAGAGGGCTACGGGTTCGGTAGGGTTCAGTGGGTCTTCCCAGTGAAGTCCAGCAGCTATTTGCAGGCAGACAGGCACCTCCTTGGCCAGCGATGGTGCCTAGGATGATCTCTCACTGGAGAATCCCCCTTGCTAGGGGCTGACATGAGGTCTGGGCTCCTCTGGTTTTGCTTCTGACTGCGCTGGGTGGTGTTTGCCCCCATGGCCCACCTGGATTCCTGCGGGGAGGAGCAGCTGCTCTTGAGAGTCGTGTGCCACCTGAGCCAAAGTGCCAGTCACTCACATGTTAAGGTTTCACATCAGCTTTTCTCCAAGTTTTAATTCTACCCTTCCTGCCAGCAAGTACTCCGCCTCCTCCACTGGTGGAAATCACTGTCACAGTTCAGCAGGTTTTATCAATCACACCCTTTGGCCTGCACATGAGAGTGGTCACCTGTGGTGCCTAAGTTCCTGCTGCAGTGGAGACGATCAACACGGTGGTTTGTTATTCAGAACTCTATTTCTCTTGGAAATGTGTAGTATTTCCAAGTTTCTAAAATGGCCATTTGACTCTTCTTCAGTCACACATTATGCTACCTAATACAAACCAACATTTTCTTTCCAAATAATTTTCTTCCTAAATATTGCTGACATGGAAGATAACACAGTTTTATATGCTGCCCTGTTTATTTTCACTGTGTATTATGTTACTTCTCCAGGAGTTAAGTAATAACTTAAAAACACTTGTTCAACAAGTCTTAAGTTACGGAGTTATTTGCGTTCAGCACAGTGGATAAGCAGCCCGTGTGTAGAAAATGAGAAAACTGATTTAGCAGCAAGCTGAAAACAGGGAGCCTAAGAAAATAAATTGTCACCCACCGAGTTATTTTAAAGTGAGTGAGTAAATAGCTGGGGAGTGCAGAAAGCTACTGTATCGGCGAGGTACTGAAAGTCTTTCAGCTTGATGTTGTGGAGGAGAGACGGGAAGTTTTGAAGTAGCCGGCCTATGTCTGAAGGGCATTTTGTTGACTGGAAGATTGAACACAATTAGTCAAACTAGACCTTGATTTTCCTTTTTTCTTCTGTCTCCCCCTCTGAACCTTTTGTTACATCCTTTGTATCAAATGTCTCACAGTTCCTGTCTCTTCCATGGTTTGTTTGCTAAATCGGTACCAGAATATGAAATATCAACATGCTTTAGAATAGAGCTGTGTTTTCTCCGATTTTCTTTTTGTTTTGGTCTAGACTGTATGCCAGGTTTCCTGCAACTCATCACTGTAATGGTGATGTGAGGTTTGTAACTCTTCAGCAGGTCTCTTCAGGACAAACTTCAAGAGGTAAATTTTGCATGAGCAAACAGTTACACAAACAAGAAACATTTCTGCACATAAATGAGGGATTTCCGTGTGCAAACAGAGGAGCAGCTAGTTACCTAATTTCACGCAAGGACCTTGTCTTTTGGCTGGACAGAAGTTCTGCAGCCTGCTGTGTCCACAAGGTACTTGCTATTTGCAGTGAACAAGAGCATTTGTGTTCATGGGTGAAACTAGGGAATGATCAGTCTCTGTATCTCTCTGTCCTGTGCTCTTTCTCATAATCCGAACAGTTCACTTCAAATATGGAGAATTAGCTTTCATAGTGGTGGCTGTCCCCCTATGTCCTTATGCTGTAACAGCAGCTACCTCACAGGGACAGGACTGCAAATTCACTTGCAGGTGTTGGGCTTGGACAGAAACGGAGCTGCTCTACTCTTCATTAATATTAGATGGAAAAGTTCTACAGTAGAAAAATACAGTTTGGGAAAAGGAACTGGCAGAGAGGTCGAGAGCCTGAGGCCACAGCAACGAGAAGGGAGAGGAAAATATATACAATGACAGCACATCATACTAAACGTGCTTTAGACAAGCATTTTACAAAACCTTCCTGTTTGGTTCTTTTTATGCCTTTGCAGTGTCCCTTTAATGAATACTAGGCTAGCAGATAGTAAATTGGTTCACAAAAATTAAAAGAAAAACAGGAAGATGAATTTCATGGAGAGCCCAAAGGGGTGGTAGCCTGCAATCTGGTGAGATTCAGAGATCACCATATTCCTACAATCACCAGTATGATAGGTGGTATGAACATTTTCATATTTCTAAATGCACATTTTGATTTAATTGGGGAATGCCCTCCCTCCAGAAAGTGCCTTCTTTGCATATCTTTAAGTATGTGCATACATTAAGCACCCAGATAGTTTTTTAATGCAAAAGTGTTGGCAGGTTGTCCTTAACAGCAGCTGGTGAGTCTGCAAGGTCAATGCCTCTATAAGGTGATGTAAAGGATGTGTTGCCATCTCTTGTCCCTCCATCTGTACTGAAGGTGCTTCAGATACATGGTCACAGCACAGGTCACTCCAGCCACCCCATGCTCAGGGGCAGTTCTATGCAGCCCTCAGCCATAGCTGAGGAAGGAAGAGTTAAACCTCATGATTTCACATTTTCTTCCCAGTTGAGACAGCTAAAAAACTATTTTTAAAGGAAAGCTCAGATTCCCAGGCAGCCACTTGACAGGAAAAGCAGCTTGGTAAAAAACAAGCACTAAAAATCTAGGCTGTATTATTCAAAATACCAGCCAAGTGCTGTCTCCAGTTGAGCCCCAGTCCATCCATGAAGAGCTTTGGATTGAAACAAGGAAGGGTTTCTCTAACCGCTATCTAGCCCAGCAAGGGTATGACTAACAAGATAGTGATTTTGCAAAGTGATCACTTCCCCTTAAGGGGAAGTCTAGTGGAAGCCTAGCTCAAGAAGAGTCAACAGGGTGGCATAATTTGACTTAACTTACAGGGAGAGGAACTCTACAAGGAACTATGCAAAGTGGCTGAGGCAACAGCCTTCTGTTTTCCATAGAGCCATGTTTTCAACACAGCAAAGAAACATGCATCAGGTTCAGCCAGAGCAGGAGACACTGTAGCCTCACGAGGCTCACTAATGCCCTCTGCCCAGCCACAATGATCTGAAAGGACATAATTTCTTTTTTGGACTACCAAAAAGCCATAAACACAAACATAAGCACTGCCTGACATACACAAGATAGACGTTCCCAACTAAAAATTTACAGCCTTTGCGTTATCTACCGAACACTGGTGCTCTTCTTTACCAACTCTGATAGATACTAACAGAAAAGATCTTATCTCCTGATCAACTAAGGCCTATAGAGGATTTTAAAGAAAGGAAGGCTTAATAATCCTAAAACCACCCTTTCCTGCTCTTGGGAACGAGAGGAGTCTGAAACAAAAGGAGGCTCAAGGAACTTCTTTAATTGACCATTAATAAATAGATCTGTTTTTCTCTGAGAAGAGCTCAGCTGTGGAAATACTTTCCACACACGCCCTCCCTCTCTCTCCTTGTCAAATATATCTGGGAAATTGCCTGGCAGAAGAGAAGAGGTCAGGTTTATGAACTGTAAATGTTCAGCTCCTTCTTCTTGTCATCTGCTATGACAGTCTCCTACTTTGAATGTTTTGGTTCAGGTATCAAACAGAAGCGTGGGGAGGTGCCCAGTCTTCACAGCACAGGAATCTTTTCCAAGGATCTTGAAAAGATCGGGAGAGGACCACAACAAATATTTTATATAGGCTGCTTCTTGTGGGGTTTTCTTTGCCTTTTAAATTCAGGCCTTATCTGTCGTGCCCTTCTGTACTGTCAGTGCAATTGCAAACTATAATTCTCTCTGGACCGATGCTGAGGAAGAGGCATTTTATACAACAGAACATCTTTCTTCTAATCGCAGCAGAAAGTAAAAAGAGGCTTCAGCTACAAACAGTGCAGATGCTAGAAAACCTGTGAGGCTTCACAGGGTGCCAAAGCCTCACTGTGGCCCCCCTGGGGGAATGGCCATGCCCCTGAGGGCAGCCCTGCTCCTGCCAACCAGCGGGACACAGGCTCCCTCTGCCTTCTCAAACTACTGCCCCATCCCTGAGGAGCATTACCCTAAACAAGGGAGTCTGCGGCAATCCCAGACACCTCACAGGCAGCATGAAGGACTGACATTTCTGCTCTTCTTGTTCAAAATAACTAGAAACAGCTGCAAAGTGGGGAGGTTCCCACCCACCTCTCCCCAGGGGAGGCAGTTGTTGCTCTAACAGAGGACCCTTGTGCAGGAAAGCCTCCTCCACTAACGTTATTTCCAAAACCAGCCTAAAGCAGCCAAGCATCAGCCCCCACAAAGGTCCCCACGAGGCCCGTGGGTGCTACTCTTGGTGCTGCAGGTTGGTTTGGCCCCATTTGCCCAGCATGAGAATGGCCCCCAAAGGTGAAAAATCACACCCTGTCTGAGGAGGGCATAACTGGCAACCTCTTCATGGGCCAAAACCAGCACCACCACCTCTGCAAAGGAGTTACCAGGCCACCACAGGCAGCTCTACCAGGACCTGCGCGAGCTGTGGACGTGCCCCCAGCCACACCAGATCCCTTTCCCTGGGTCCCTGTCACAAGCATTGCTGCTCAAACCCAGTCCCCATTGGCAGCAGGGCAGCGAGCCGGTGCATCATGTCCCTGCGGAGCTGCCAGCCGCGTGGTGGGCGTGCGTCTTTATTTAGAACATTAATGACACGAATTAAACCACCGCCCTCCTACCTCCCAGTAATAGGCACTATCCAAATGTGATAAAAATAGGCAAGTGTGGGAAATCAAGCTGGTTAGCAATTTGAAAATGAACAGCTAATTTTAAAAAGTTTTCATACTCAGCAAAGTAACTCAAATAATGACCAAGTAGAAAAGTCTATTCTTTTCAGATAATGGCATACTATGAATTT